CCACCTAGATCTCGACTCTCACTTAGACAGAAAATCAATAACTTTTATTTTACATTTTATTTTTCAATAAAATGTAAGAGACTTATTAAATATGTGGGTGAACACTCATTATATCCTTATTCTCCATGTTTTCAATATGTTCTAATATTTTATAACATTTATGTCATTTTATTTTGTAAATTGTGAATACAATTATGTGTTTTTCTTTAAGAATAAATAGGCACTTATTTATATAAATATATAATAAATTTACTTAAATCTGCCTAGATGGGTAGGCCCCCGCCTAGGCCCAATTTAGCCGCCCAGGCGCTAAGCCCCAGCCTGCCTCCCAACTTGCGCCTAGCGTCTTTAGAACCTTGACTAGGCTAGGTAGGGATTATACGGGTTCACAAGGAAAAATAGGATTAATAAGGCTCAAAGGGTTAATCCAACAATACATATGCAAGGGATAAGCCTATTTGGTTATAATGGTAACTAGAAACCTTCATCTTGTTATGTTTGTTATGTAATCAATTCAATACTTTGAACGAAATGGGCATGAGTTCTAGTATTTGGAACTAAAAGATGAATATGCATTCTAAGTAGCAACCAAGCAAAAAAGTAATGAGGTCATGCAACAACTTTTGAAAACAAGAATATTCACATATTAAAAACTCTACAAGCAAAGCATAGACTTAAGTCTCACAGGGTTGTAATGTTACTTCGAGTGTCTTCCTTCAAGCATGTTATGAAAACTAATTATATTTTCTTTGTAATTACATGTGAATTCACAAATGACAACTACAACTAAGTATGAACCAAAGAGCATATCAAACTTTCACCCATGCTTGTAATTTTCTGTAATAGTCATGCAATTAAAAACCAAATCCACATCATTGCGTTGGAAGGTACCCTAAGTCATAAACAAACAAACAAAAACTAACCAACTGACAATTTGGTCTTTCAATTTTTTTTTTTTTACAGACACAAATTAAAGCAGTGATGGTGAAATTGAAGAAAAATCATGCAAAACAATCTGTTTACCCCTCCCCCCAACCAACTGCTACCCCACACTTAAAACCAAACATTGTCTTTAGTGTATCAAAAATAAAACTCAAACAAGAAAGCAATAAAAGGCATACGCAAACAAGACTTACAAAACAAAACAATCATGGTCAAGAAAAAATAATAAAGAGAACAGTAAACGAAAGCAAATTTGAGTGTAGAAGCCGGAAATTCAGTTGTTTCCTACTTTAAACACATAGGTTGCCTCCTAAGAAGCCCTTACTTTAATGTCTTCTAAGCAGACGATACCTTCATTTAATTCTCACTAGGAGCTGCGACGTGGTGGGGTATGTCTTTCAAAAAATGCTCCTCCTTACTTTTACGCATTAGATCATTGAACGGAAGGTGATACTTTAAAATCCAATATCGGTTTAAGCTCAAGCGTGGCTACCTGAATTACTGAAGCTAACAAGTTATTAGTAGAAAAAGGAATTGAAATTGGGGGAGTTGCTTACTTTTGTGTTGTGGTAAGAACTCAATGGCAGCCAAGATTTCAAAACTTGTAGAGTTGTTCTTCTCTATTAAACTTGGTTTGAGGGCAGTGACTTGTCTTGTGTGACCAAATCCAATTCCTTTGGGGGTGGATGTCTCATATATATCCTTATTGATAAACTGTAAATATTCCCCTACTACTTCTTTTTCTGGAATCCTTCTTCTTATTGTACAAAGCTCTTTCAAAAATTTAGCATATTTAGATACTTGCATATGGCATTAAGAAGCAGAATGTTAACTTGAACCTCTCAGAAATTTTCCAAGATGTCTTTCTTATCCTCTTCATTCTTAGACTAAGTAAATTTGCAAAGGAAAGGTACATTTGGATTAATAGGGCTACAAAGAATTGAATTTGGATAACTTCAACAGAATTGAGTGGCAAAGATGCTTTAGGGGTTGAAGCACTAGGCTTCAAGATAGTCGTGGATTGTAGCAAGGATTGTTCCTTCCTTGCCATGGCTAGATCATTCATATCCTTTTCAGACAGAAGTTGTTTGTCCATTGTTTGGCTATGTTTAGATGTCTTTGGTTTAGTCAAACCTCCGTACCACTTCTCAAAGTGATAGTGTTAATGGTTTCAAAACCTCTCATCGGATTAACAATAGTTGAACTAGGGAGTTTGCCTTGTTCTTGATTTTGTCTTAAGAATTCTACTGTTTGCTCCATTTGATTCTTCAAATATACCAATTCCTTAACTTGATTTTGGTGTCCCTAACTCACAGAAGCATGAGAAGCAATTAGTGTTTGAAGAATTTTAACATGCTTCACGAATAAACTGAATTTGGTTGGAATTGTTGTGGGGGACTTTGTGATGGCACCATAGATCTTAAATAGAACCTTGAGGTGGCTGCCTATACCCTCCTTGCTGTTGAAGTTGTTAAGGATCCCTCCACATAAAATTCAGATGGTCTTTCCAGCCCAGATTGTAAGTGTTGAAGGATGAGTCGTTCCTTGGTTGATTGTGGCCTTGATAACCCATGACATTGACACTTTTTTAACCTTTATTCTCATTTAATTGATGACATTGATTAGTTTGATAGCCTTGCATAGAGAGCACACCAAATGCATGTGTCCACCACACTTTGCATCTTAGACTGTTCAAGAATGTACGACATAATAAAAGTAATTAAGATTAGCCATTTGAGCTTTTTGTTTTAATAGATTGGCAATTGCCATGTCTTGCTTCTCTAGTGCCTAGAATCAAAGAAATTAAAATGAAATAAAAGAACAAAAGAAAAACAAACAAAACAAACATAGGGATTAGTAATTTCACTCATCCCCAGCAACGACGTCAAAATTTGATGTGGTAGAAACTTACACTCAAATTAAAACCCTGCAAACAATATGATCGTAGTACAAGTAAAGCCCCGCAAACACTCAAATGAAAGGCTAGCTAAATGATACTTCTCCATACATAAAACATATGCACATAAATCGATTTCTAGTTATTCTTCTTATAAACCGTGAATGACAGTGCACCAAGTTAACAGTGGCACACTCATTTCCTTCAGATTTTCCTAAGTTATTGAAAAGGAAGACACTTCGCTCCTCAAATTATTCTTATCAAGACATCTAACACACGTGACAAATATTCACATCAAAGATTATTTTCTGCAAAAATCAAAAGCATTGACAAAACGTTTGTTACTATGACACATGATACTCTTGCAAAGGATTTAACTTATCTTAATCAACATCCATTGATTTTTACTACTTATGGATGCAAGTTCATAATGATTACGTGAATTTCTTGTATATTCTTGCTCAAAATTTCTGCATGCAAACTAAGTTTGGCCACTCTAATAAACATAATATTAAGTCCTCTATAAACCGGATACGTAAATCACGTTCACATTTTATGAAACAATAATTGGATCTAATCAATTCATATGAAATAGATGTTCACGGCTTCAAATTCAACTCTAGCTAAAAGAACTTAGTTACACATGTTCATCATAATTGAAAAGCAAGTTATAATAAACATTGAAACTAAATAACAAAGATAAAAAGAAAGAAACTAAGAACTCCTACATCTTCAATGGATGAACTGTCAAATGAATTATGTGAGAGGTTGTAGAGAATTGTGGTAGAGGGGTCTAAAAAAGAGGAGAAGTTGGTGTTACTGAAGGAATTCTCTCCTTAAAGTCTGGATATAAGTGTGTATATATATATATGTGTGTGTGTGTGTGTGTGTGTGTGTGTGTGTGTGTGTAAGAGAGTTTGGATTATAGTAGGACTCTAGGGAATCAGCTAGAGAATGTTTCAAGTTGATTAGGACTCTTTCATTCAATTGGAAATACGATAGGATAATGTGTACAATAGCTGCCTATCTTTTTTATAGTGTTTCACTCCAACTAGGACTCCTCTTCATTGATAAATTCCTTGTCTTCAAAAAACGTTCAGCCCTTGTTCTCCATCCAGTGCAATGCAAAACCAAGTCCTATTTAGCTCTTTTTTGCTCTATTTAACCTCTAATTGTCAATAACAAATGGAAATAACTAAGTAAATGTAAAGAAACAAGATGACAAATTCACATAAATATGCTCTTATGAAAGAGTGGATGGAAACAAAGAAAGCCTTTGAATGCTAGTTGTAAAAAATCCTTCTCGGAACTCCTGATTCTCATCTTCAATGCATTGTATCATGTCCAACATGGACATTGAAAGAACCAGCAATTTCGTTAATAAAAAGTAGATCAATTCAATAAAATAATATGTAAATCATAATAAGAATGATTAAAATGTAATACTCCCCTAAGTTGAAGATGATCAAACTCTCTTTAGTGCAACGTCAAAATCATGCTGATAACGTGTTGTAGTATGAATTTAATGAGGGAAATCGGCCAGAGAGAAGAGAATTGAGATAAAGGTTTGAGGAATTCTATGTGCCATATTACTCATGCCCTGCGCCTTTATTTATACTAATAAGGGAGTCCTTTCCAAGTAATACAACTACAACTAGGAAACTATCTAAAAGACATGTAGAATAATGCACATAATCTACTAGAATTTATACAATCACACTCACTGTTCTAAAAATCTCTGCCTATCGCCGCCTAGGCCCCGCCTAAGCGCTAGGCGGTTGCCACCATTCCAATTAATTCCTAAGTGTTTGAAAATTAAGAAATGGCAACTAGACTTGCTTAGGCGCCTGCCTAGCCTGCTGTTTAGGCACCCGCTTAGACCCGCCTAGGCACCCACTTAGGTCGCAACTCTCACTTAGATAGAATATAGATAACTTTCATTTTATATTTTATTTTTTTAAAATAAATTGTAAGAGACTTATTGAATACTTGGATGAAACACTCAATATATTATGATTCCCCATGTTTTTAATATGTTCTAATATTTTCTAATCTATATGTTATTCTATTTTTCACTTTATTTATCCCAATACAATTACGTACTTTTTAAGTAAAAACCGGCACTTATTTATATATATAATAAGTTTACTTAAATCCGCCTATCCACTTAAGCCTCCGCCTAGGCACCACCTAGCCGCTTAGGCGCTCGCCGTTCGTTTAGCACCTAGTGTCTTTTAGAACCTTGATCACACTCCTAATGTAATTAGGATTACACAATAACAATATTGTCACTAAAAAAAATCCTATGATGAAACCCTTGCTCCCACAGAGGGAGTTTATACCGCTAACAGTTGGACCCTCTCCTTAACTGAAAAATAAAAAATAAAAATAAAACACACAAATAGAAATATTTCTAACAAGGCAGATTTCCATGGCCATTGTCCGTGCTGAAACTCTGGCTCATCCGCAGTTGAGAAATAGATTTTACTAAAACTGAAGACATTCGATCAAGCTGCCTCATCGACCGCACCTTCAACGATCCACAATTAGTAAGAACCGGCTTTGAAGAAGCACAATCAAAAGAAGAAGATGATGATGATGATGATGATGATGATGATGATGATGGCTTGTCATCACTCTCTGTGTATATATCGATAAGAACGTGGGAATGATCCAAAGACAAAGACCTCTCCAACCCCTTTAACAAAATCCGTTGCTTACTACTATCCTTCATAGGCAATACCACCAGTGACACGCAATGCCTAAGCAAACCATTTGGTTTTGATAATTGAGTTGTTGTAGTAGTAGTGGTAGCAGTGCTAATTGGTAAACCCTCCTCCGGATCGTGAGGGTGCGACAAGCAACTAACCGGGCCTGCTTCTTCAAGTTCTCGGTCTCTAACTTGTTCATCATGATCATGATCATATTCCACAGGCAACGTTGACGAAACAGGCACAATAGGCACATCTATAGCTGACCTACAAACCGGACAATTAGAATGCCCCATAAACCACGTCTCTATGCATGGATTGTGAAACACATGCTTGCAACTCGGCAACAAACGCACCAAATCCCCGTCTTCTAGGTCTCCCAAGCAAATCACACACTCGCTCTGATCCATGTGAAAAATTTCACCATCTTTCGTTGAATACGTGAGAATCGGAATCGTATTCAAGACTTTCTCATCAACCCCAATGGATTGGCTGGTGGCTGGTTGTTGCGCGAGGCTGGCTTGGAATTGCAGTTGCATCTGCCGTTGCCTCCTCCGCAGGCAATACTTAACGACTAGGAAATGGTACGCAACTATTGCTAGGGTTGTGAAGACAATGCCTGCCATGGAAATCAAAAGGGGCGTGAAGAAAGAACCCGAACCTGAAGCACCTACCACTTGAGTCCCAACATTCTCCATCTCTCAATTCAATCTGGTTTTTGGGCTTTTTGGTGGGTTTTTGGTGTTTTAGGGAAAAAGAGTGAGAGAGAAAGGTTTACAAATAAAGAAAGTGCAGGAATGTAACACTTGGCTGTGAGTGAATATGTAGAAGGCCAAAGAGTGTAGAGAGAGCAACCCTTGGATATCGAATTTCTTTGCAATAAATTTGGGATATGATCATTTGATCGTTGAGTGTTTCAAGTGGTTTACACGTATACCCGTTTTGGTGTGGACACTGTGCAGGAAACGGTTTTGTGGTATGGCTTTTGCCAAGTGTAAGAATTTGATAGAGAATTTGATGTATTTTAACGTTTTGAGTATTTTATTTTTTAATATTGTGTAGACACTAAATATTGGTTTTAATACCTTTTGTATCCCTTAGTTTGGATTTATATCCGGTTTCGTGTTGTAGGTTGGTTACAGTGCTTACATTTTACTCAGCGTATGAGTTTTATGTAAGCTATAACTATTAATAAAATTATAAGATTCTAATATGCAAGATTTAAATTGTTGATTTATGGATCACTAGTGATCCATACTATAAAAAAAATAATAATAAAAAAAATAAAAAAATGTTGTTTGGGATCAAAAAAACTTGTGTAGAGACACTTAAAGCCTCGTTTGAGAGCTCGGACTATATTAACTATTTCAATCGGATAGGATAAATATTCATCAGATAGTATTGACTAAATTAATCGGACGTTTGGTGTAATATCGGTCATTTGGTCTAATGATAGTATTATTTATACTATACCAAAAATGAATTCAATATAATTATAACCTAAATACTTTTCAAATCCTAATCTTCAAAATAAAAAGCAAATTAAAAAGCCCCAAATTGAAGCAAAATCTAATTTTAAAAAAAATAAAAAATTGTCCATATGAAATTTTTCCTAATTTCCAAGTTCTATCATCATTCTCAGCCAAGATTCCAAAATAAACCCAGATCATATCATATCAGATCAGAAAGAGCATCAAAAATTATCCAATCGAATTCGATGGGGAGAACCCAATTCGAATCGCATAGAAATTTAGGAACTATAGTCCTAGGTGATCTGGAGAAACCCAAAATGACACGGGTCAAACAGGTGTAGGAACCGCGGGTAGGGGCGGGTAATTCAGGTTCGGGGTTGGTCCAAAATTTTTACACACAAAACAGGGCGGGGGCGATTTGGGTATACGAAATTAACAGGGCGGGGCAGATCCTAAAATAGGAGGAAACGGACCCTCAGCCCGGCCCATTTCTAGCATGGAATATAATTGAATTTTTTTTCCCCATCCTAGTTTTCTCGATCTCTCCTCCTGATTCCTTTCCTTCATTCAGAGTCTCAGACCTCGATCTCTCCTCCTAACTCACTCCCACCGTCTCAGCTCTATACGCCACCATTATCATCATCAGACCTCGATCTCTCATCCTGATTCGCTCTTGTCTTCCTCGATTTCGCCTCTGGTATTTTGGGTGCTTTTTTGTTTTTGATCCTGTGCATGTTTGTTGGGTTCAAAAAGCAGAGATTTGAGTGCCATATTTCTCAAAAGCTCTAAATTTGAAAGTAGAGGTAGGAAGCTTAAGCCTTCTGGTGTGGCTTACTCCATTTTTACCGATGTCAACAAAGAGACTTTGGTAAGTCTTCTAATCCTGTGCGTGTAATTGTTGTTCTTGTTTTTGAAACCAAAATCTTGGGATTTTGATGATTTGGGTTTTTTTGAGTAATCACTTTTGGTGTTTGTACTTTTGATTTTAGACGTTTCAGGCACCACTGTTTGAGACTCCAAAGGCTAACCCCAAAAATGTGGCTTCTATAATTTTGGGTGGAGGTGCCGGAACTTGCCTCTAACCCAAGACAAGTTCTAGATCTTCTCTGTAGAATCTAGTAAGCTTTGGCGATGTCAAAGATGTGGAGGATGAGCGATAGAGTGAGTCCAGGAGGCGATCCAAACCGAAAAAAAAAATTAAAAAAAAATAAGAAGACCCATTGACCCATCTCGAACCGGCCCATTTGAAACGGGTCAGGTTAGGTCCAATTCCAATGATCAGATTTGTAATATCCGGCCCGGCCAGGCCTGTTTCCTTCTTAAGTGGGTCCAATCCAGCCCCTCCAAATTTGGGCCAAGCCTAGCCCGTGCCCACCCCTAACACGGGTGTCATAGAATTACTTAGTTTAGATACCATATGATTAGGTACCATTCTCGGCCAAGATTCCAAAATAAACCTAGACTAGATTAGAAAAACCCAATTCGAATTCGACTGTTGTGAATCAGAATGAAACTCTTCTTTGTACGGTGCTTGGCGCAAAGAGGAGAGAGCGACGACGAGAAAAGGTGACGAGGAGAATGGTGATGGCAAGAAAAGGCGACGGGGAGATTGATGTTGGCAAGATGAGGCGACGGGGAAACAACGACAGTTATAGGAGACGACGAGGAGAACGATGACGGCAAGAAGGATGATAGGGAGAACAACAATTTTGAAAGGGACAACGGCGAGAAGAGGTGTTGTGGAGAATGAAGTGTAAGAGAAAGGAAAGGGAACCAGACTAATAATCCACTCCTTTTGGAAGGGTTTATTAAGAAGGTGTATACCCTACTAAATAAGCAGACTGATTAAATTAATCCAGTAACTATTAAACGAGAGGATACCAAACAATCAGGGTTCGTATTATTAGTCCTATCCGATCTCTTATACGACCTACCAAAAAAGGCCTTAAGGACTTTAGATTTTGTTTATATGTTATATAATAAATTTAGTTAAAATTACAAAAAAGTGGCTAGAAACTTAGGCGCTAGATCCCTGTCTGCCACTCGATTAGCGCCCAATGTTTTTTAGAACCTTGAATGGAACTAAAACAAAAATTCGAGCTAAATGCAGGGACTAGGATCATATTTAAGCTAGTGATAATTAATATATGATACTACCTATTTAATAGTATTCATCTTTACTTGTAAATTAGAGATTTTAGATTTTAATATTGTAGATAACGAGTTTGATACTAAACTAATTTTCTACTCCTTAGTATAAATATATCCTTGTATCAAAGAAGTATCATATATATATATATATATATATATATAATGATGGAGACAAAGAAAGATTTGATCATTTGGAGTAGGCTCAGCAGGCACCAATAGAAACTAATGGGTAAAGTACAAAAAACTACCTCAACTATTGGTGTCACGACACTTTCATACCTCATCTTTTAAAATTGACAATTTCATACCTCATCTTACGAATTTGTGTCAATGTTATACCTTCCGTTAGCTTGGAGTGAATTTCTCAGTTAAATGCTGACGTGACTTGATTTAGGGCCCACTTTCTATTAAAAAAATTAATAAAATATAATTAAAAAATAAAAAAATTATTTAATATTTTTTAAATATTAAAAAAAAGTTATAAAAAAAAAAAAAACCCTCACTTCGTCCCTTCCCCCCTTCTCTCTCTCTCTCTTCTCCCCCCATCTTCATCTTCCTACGTAATCTTCAACCAAAAAAACAAAAATTTGAAAACCCATCAACCCCCCCAACACCCGAAGAAGAAGAAGAGGAAAAAAAAAAACAAAAAAAACAAAAAATCGCAACCCAGAAAGAAGAAGAACAGGATGAAGGAAAAAAGAAAAAAAAAACCAAACCCAACGCAGTTCGTCCCCCCTCCCCCCAGACACAACAAACCCAACCCCCCTGCAACCTAGAAAGAACGAGGAAAAAAAAAATATCCAAACCAAACCCAGTTCCTCCCCCGCCCCCCCCCCCCCCCACAAAAAACCCAAAATCCACCACTCCCACCCCATCACGAAGGTTTCCTGATTCCACCTCAACGGGATCTAAGTTTTTTCCTAGGTTTTTTTTTTTTTTGGGTTGCAGGAAGTGGGTGCAAGGGTGGGTGCGGGTTTAGGGAAGATGGGAGGGGGGAAGAAAGGAAGGGGGGTTAGGGAAAATCGCGAGTTGGGGGTGGAAGATAAATTGGTTATTTTTTATTTTTATTTTTTTTGGGTTGCAGGAAAGGCGCTAGAAGGGGGAAGAAGATAAAGATGGGGGAGAAGAGAGAGAAGGGGGTAGGGAAAGGGGACGTGAGGGTTTTATTTTTTATTTTTATATATTATTTATTTATTTATTTATTTTTACTTTTCTTTATTATTTTGATATTTAAAAATTAAATGATTATTTTTTAGTTTTTAATAATTTTTTAATAGAAAATAGGTTCCGGATCAAGCCACGTCAGCATTTAACTGAGAAATTCACGCCAAGTTAACGGAAGGTATAACACTAGCACAAATTCGTAATATGAGGTATGATATTGTCAATTTTAAAAGATGAGGTATGAAAGTGTCGTAACATTAATAGTTGAGGTAGTTTTTTGTACTTTACCAAAATCTAATTTTGTAACATGACACGGGACAGTTGGATTGTTTAAGGGGATGACAGATGACAGCTTTTGTAGTTGTAGATAATAATTAGTAAGGTACGATATAGAAATTTTCAAAAGAAGCAATAATTTGACTTGGTACCATGGAGCCTCCGTCATCTGCGGCTTTTTCTGGAAGCCGTGTATTGGATTGTGGTGGATGCTGACAACAAAGGACCACATTGTGAAGGTTTTTGTTGTGTTTACACGTTGGTTTCTGTCACATTTCAGGTTCTGTTGTAGCTGTTTCATGTTTTTGTTTTTTGGTTAAATGATAGATTTGTTAGATTAGGAAATCAATGCGGTTCAAACCTGCACGCTGTAATGTAAAAACAACACTCATATCTATTATTGTAGTAAAGAGCCACTTGCGTAGCTGTTCCATGTTTAATGATACTAGAATATGTTTTGGCTTGGTACTAGTGTATTCATACACTTGAATTGTTTACCAAGGACCTTCGTACAAATTTCAAGTATCATCTCGTGATGCAAAATTGTCGTACAAATTTCTAATGTCATATCAACTATAGGTCTGGTTGCAAATTGTCGTCCGATTATGAATTGAAGCAATGTGTTACCTTAAACTTATAACATGTTACACTGTGAAACCTACTGCAAAGTCCGTTGAAAATTATGTTAAAAATAATCATGATCATAGGTGTTTCAGTCATTCACCAATGCAAAAGCATTCCACCAAAAATGGGCTTTATGCCACAAGATTTTCACGACAAGAGGGCCCCATAAGGTGCATAAGGTCATCTCTAACCGAAATATCCAGAGGGTCAGAGGGCCGAAAATAGCTCAAAAACCGTCTCCAACCGAGAGCTAGGCCAGAGGGCTATGGAATCTAAGAGGACCTCACGGAATCGGAGAGGGCTAGAGGGCTAGCCAGTTAGCCATTGTATTCAATTTTTTTTTTCCTATAAATACCTAAACCATTCATTAAATTTAAGTTGTTGGGTTTGAATTTAAGTTGTTGTAATTTTTAAATTTAAATAATAAATTATGTTTTGCTCTATGGTCCTTTGGCCTTCGGTTGGAGACGGTTTTTCATGACAGGGCTAAAATGAGCTCTATGGCACTTTGGCCCTCGGTTGGAGACAGAGGCAAATATGGCTCTGTACTGTTCATTAAAAAATTAATATCTTGGAGAATCTTAGAGGGCCAAATGGCTAAAACGAGCCTCTAGCCAACCATCGGTTGGAGATGGCCTAAGTTTCCCTACAAAATCACTTAGCCAAATATCATGGCAACCATGGGTTCATTCCATACAAGCATTTCTTTGGTCAATATACATTTCAATCTTCACCAAATCAAGGTATAAGAATATTGATTTTCACACTCGTATTTTCTCTCTGTGCACTTCCCTTATTTTTCTAAGGAGTTTCTAAGGTGCGGCCTTGCGCCTGGACCATGCGTTCATACCGAAATTCAAAGGTCGCGATTTGCTGAGCTCACAACAAAACTGAGTTGTTGTGACCCGTTGTAGTTCAAAACTTTTAATTATTTTTATTCACTGGGTATGTTTTTGTCCAAGAGAAAATGGGAGCTAAGGGTTTATTTGAGCATTGAAAAGTGAGAGGCAGAGAGAGGGAGCTAGGGTGAGGAATCAATTTCAGGTTGATTGAAGTTCTGTTTCGCTTGTGACCCGGTGATTTTATACCTTTAATTTTTTTTGCTCATTGGGCATGTTTTTGTCAACAAGAGGGAGAGATTAGGGTTGTCTTCACGAGGAAAGAGAGGCAAAGAGAGGGAGCTGGTGAGGCGCGAGAGTGTTTGATTTTAGGTGAATTGAGCTCTTGTTGGATTGGAGTTCATAAGGGTGGTTCATCCAGAACCTCTGAAGAAACCTAGAATGTGAAAGTCAATTTTGAGCCATTAGTAAATCCATTTCTGTTTCATTTTGGTTCGGAAAACCACCATCGGGTACATGTGTAAGATACTTATAATTCTGGGATTTGAAACCATGATGTTAGGTGGTTACCTCTGAACTTGGTTGAAATTGTGAATTTGAATCCTAGATATATAGGTGCAAAACTTGTGATGGGTTGTGATAAGTTTAGTTTTAATTGAGTAGATTTGTAGTAGGTAAATTGAAGTATAATTCGATGGGGATAAGATATTAATAGAAGAAATAATGGAGGAAGGAGAGCATGTAGATGTTGGAGATCAATTTGGTGCAAGGAGGGTTGAATTTGTTGTACCAACGGTAAAAGATGAGTTGAAACAAAATTGAAAATGGAATCACGACGTGGTTATGACCATTTTGGTGATGTGATTGTGTTTGACACCACGTTTAACACCATGTATGCGAGATGTTACCTAAGAACACACAGAGGCCACACCGAGCGCTGATGTTGGTGATGTTACTGAGGAAAATGAAAATGTTGACCTTGTGCCTAATTCGCAACCAACCCAAAATAGTAACAATCATGTGACCGTTTGAAAATTCGGGAGTGCTAGATGCTTTTTATGAATATATGCTTAATGACCCATTAAACATGATTTGAAAAGTCATTTGTGAGATATCCTTTTTTTTATACAAGATGTGTTAAGTTTGCAGGGGGATGAACTATTCTTTTGCTGTGGCCATAGTTGGTTGTTTTAGAATGTATATATTGTGTCACAGTACTGATGGAAATTGTGATACACCAACTGTGACTTGTGGCTGAATATATATATATATATATATATATATATATGAATATTTGTGGCACCTTATGAACATTTACAAAAATAATTCTTGAATCACTAAATGAAGCTTGAAATTATGATATAGTTAATACATTGTGCAAAATGTACAAAATAACGAGTCATAAATATCTAAGAAGGCAAATTTCACTTTGAGGATCATTAGGTGCCTTGTGAGCCGCCTTTATGTACTCGTGCTACTCATAGTCACCACCATCACTTTGAGGATCATTAGGTGCCTTGTGAGGGCAATACGCATTCCCAATCATATCCCTTGTGGTTACCATAGAGATACGAACAAAATTTTCAAACCCATCATAGAAAGCGAAGTCACACTCTTGTTGGAGCTGCTTCATTGCCCATAATTTGATTGATCTACAACATTCAACTTCCTCATTTTTAGAACCAACTCATCATACTTACACTTTCGGTTATGTATTTGGTGTTTGTACTTGGCCTATTTGGACAACGCCTCGTTCAACTTTTGTTGTAACTCAATCAAGATGGAGTTTTGTTCGACACACTTTTGATGTCACACAGTTACAGCACGTGAGTTAGCACAGAATTTGAGCTTCACTTCAGCAATTTGACCGTCAGATCATCGGAATCAGCATCACTCCCCGAAGCACATGACTTACTTGAGAAAGGTTGTTAAACATTCCCCTATATGATTATTCCTCTTTTGTTGCTAGTTGAACCCTCAGTAGACATATCTTGTACACATAACAATACAAGCATTCAACACAACCAAATTCAATAATATATACCCTGAACACAACCAAATTCAACAATGCATACCCTTAACACAACCTGTCAACAAATTTTCATAACAATACATCTACCGTGAATAAAGCTTCATGACTTAAAAGAAATATCAAGTTAATTCATGAAATTAACAAGGATTTCATCAACCCAAATCATTGAAGAGAGCAAGGAGAGGAGATTGCTCGCTGAGATCAAGATAAGCGGCGGCGGACTGAAGAGAGCAAGAGGAAGACAACTCGTTGAAATTAATGGGTTTAGACTTTTAATGGCAGAAGGACTTTATGAAATTAATCTTCTTTTTTATTTTTAATTATACTTTCATATAATATTTAACGGTGTGAATGCTCTAGTAGGTGTAAAGACACGTGTAGTAATACTAGCAACGAGACATGAAAGGAGACACCCACTTCGGGACAATAGATCCTGGGTTGAATTTTTGAGATAGCTCGAAAAGGGAGAGTTTAAATCCCAAAATTTTAAAACAGTTGCAGTTACCCTTTTTTTATTAATGACGGATCATTTAGAACCCGGTTTCCCTCTTCGCTCATTTTGATAGATTTGTTTTAGCCATTCAGATCAAATCCGGTCCGCACCTAGAGTCCACAAAGTGCAGTCCGCACGTCGAAAACGCGCGCCCAACGAACACGTGAACACCAATAGTTTTGGGCTCCAGATAGGCCCAGTCGGCAGAATTGAAGAAGAAGTCGGCATCGAATCCAACAATCCATCCCTGACTCCAAGTCATCTTCTGCGATCTTTCCCATCTTCTCACACGTTTTCGACCACTTGCACAAAGCCACGCGCGAAATACAAAATCGTCGGAGGCGTAACCCTTTGAATTTTCTCTCGAACGTAACTGGACTGTTTAAGCTTCCAAATTCCTCCTCCTCCTCGTCCATCCAGTTCAATCTTTTCGTCGATTCGATTCGATTCCATTCCGTACCCAGCTTGATTGATCGGAGTCCTCAAGCTCTCCCAAAGCCATGTCCATGTTCAAGTTCTGGTAATTCTTCTCTTCTCGGTGTAATTTAGGGTTTTAAATTTGAACCGTAGCTCCGTTAATCCTAGGGTTAAATTCTGATTCCGGTGATTGATTTTACGGCGTTTTCGTTAATGGGTCGGTGTCAAAATCCCCAATTTGTTCTGCGAATTGATGGGTTTTGTTACTGGCATCGGTTTGTAAAATCATTAGCGGAAATTGGAGCTTTCCGTTGGAGCTTTCGTAATCCAGTAATTTGATTGGTGATACGTGTTGGAGAGGCTGAAGGTCTAAGTTTCTAACCGTGTTTACGTCCACAGGGGATCTCAGGAGGAACCTACTCAGCCGCGTCCGGAGGTTGTTACTCCTTCACAGTCATGGTACCCTCCATCTGTAGTTAGTTCTCCGACTTCTTCTCGCCCTGGGACGCCGAGTAGCACCTCGTCTAGCAGTATGAGTTACCAAAGGCCAACAGAAAGGGCACAGTCTGCGTTACATGTTTCTCCCGCCGAAGCTGCCGCTGTTATTTCCGTTCTGAAGGACAAGAGGTAAGGATAATGGTGCTGTCGGAATCTCATGATTACATAGTAATGATGATTTTACTGTTTCGGAGCTGATCAACAATGTTCTTAGCTATAGCACACCTCATTTATCGGTTGTTACATATCAACTTGTCACTTCTTTTGTTTCAGATTGTACATTAAAATTTGGAGATGATTGTGGAGTGGATTTTAACTGTACTTGTTGTTTGTCTAGGGTGGTTGGTAGTTTTGTTTGAACTCGTTCTTGTAAAAACAAATCTCGGAACTGTTAGATATACTGAAGAATGTTGAAAAGAAGTTGGTGACTGCATACGAGAAAAAAGAAATTTGTATTTACTTTAGGTGTAAGCCCAAGCTTAGAGATTACGTTTTACCTATCAAGATAGGATCTGTTTACTCAATCATTGTTTTAATCAACCTTTGAAAGAGCATATTTGTCCAATGAAATGTTGTCCAGTAAGTGAATTTGTTATTTCTTAATGTATATGATTGAGAGATTCGTGTTCTCAAAAACATTTATAATGCTATGTAACTCTTAGTTTTTTGGTTTACGTCTCGATATCTCGAGTATGGCAGATATAACTCTCCCAGATCATATGTGATTCTTATCAAATTTTTGTGAAATAACTAGTAACTAATCATTATGTTTTCCCTATTAATGTGATCAGTGTTGAGGACCTACGGAAGCTTTTGTCTGACAAGAATGCATACCAGCAATTTTTTCTTTCGCTCGATCAGGTCAAAATTCAAAATAATGTAAGTTTGAACTTCACTTTTTCTGTCGTACCCTTTCTGTTTAAGGTTCAACTGCTGATGCACACCCGCACATTGATCTTAGTAGACTCAACACTTACCTTTTAATTTAGCAAGCTCTTAATGAACTGTAATTTCTGTCTTGCTTTGGGGCTACACCATATTTATACTTGGATTGGAAGTTGGTCTCCTAACAAGCTATAAACATGATGTTGAGTTTCTTTGTTCAAATACTTTAGTTTCCGGACATATCTTTATTCTGTTCTTTCTTTTTGTTTCTTCTACTGACCACATCAGCTAAGAGAGGAGCTACGGAGGGAAACTCTGCAGTTATCCAGTGAGTTCTCTGTTTCAGTATCTCGCCTATTTTAATTATATTTGTCTCCTGCTATTGGATTATACATGGGAAAACAAATTATTATTTTATTTTATAAAACAGGGGAAAACTTGGAAAAAGAACCGCAGATGGTGGAACTTAGAAACCAGGTAAGCTTTTGCCAATGTCTTGCTTCTCACAGTAGTAGCAAAATCGTTGTTTTTGATCTTGTATCTTTTTCTCCTTTATCTTTTGTGGTCACAGTGCAGAATAATTAGAACAACAGAGTTGGCTGCTGCTCAGGAGAGGCTAAATGAACTTGAGAGAAAGAAAGAAGAAACGTTGAAGCTATGTTCCCCGTCTTCTCTTCTTCAAAGGCTTCAAGGCATGTAGTAACGATAATATGAAACTGTACAGTAATTCAGTATTCTCGTGTGCCTTATTAGTCATCAATATCATACATGCATGAATCACAATCAAATTTTTGGTATATGAAATTTTTTTTCTGTGCGTGCAGAATCGATGAATACAACGGAGGAGGAATCTGAAGCTCTGCACCAGCAGCTCCTCGACAAGGAGGTTGATCTCGGAGCTTTTGTGGAAAAGTACAAGAAGCTTCGTACCACTTACCACAAGCGAGCGCTTGTTCATCTTGCCGCAAAAACATCTTCAATAGGGTGAACATATGACCTTAGTAACTTGTATACATTTTAGTGGATACTTCATTGAAAAGGTCGATAAAAAGTACCGTGGTGATCGTTGCTTATTCGTGTATAATTTGAGCATCTATTTGCCCTATCACATTAATATTCATTTTTTATAGTAATTCTGTGTATAAACATTATTGTTTTCTCATTTGGACATCCAAGGCTTATAAACTTTGTTCGAAATAGTGTGAACAGTAAAACTCAGTTTAAGTTTCCCAAAGTAGAGTCCATTTTTGGTACGATGTTTACTTACCTAGAATGAGTATTGAAATTATCCGGAATTAGATTCCACATTCAAATCAAAAGAAATACGTGGTCTCGAATCAAAATCCGGAGTTCAATACTTGAAAACCTAGGCACAATTTTTTTACTTTACAACACTGTCTGGTTTCCTATGCTACTAATATATCCACCAGCATGTGAACCTGAGTTTCCTTTGAAACTAAGGCTGCTGAAAGCCCTTTCAGACACTTCATTATCCTCAGAATGCCTAATCAACCTTTGTTCAAATCCCTTGAGTACAGCACTACCTCATTGGGATATATTTCAGTGATTTTCTTTGTTCATCATAGATAAACTAATTAACACTTCTCTACAATCCTCTTATTTGACAGTTCTTCACCATACATCTTCATTTGATTTACTAAAGCAAACAATCTAGGCCAAGTAATCAGATAGAGATTCATTATTCGTCATTCTAGCATACTCAAAATCATGATGTATACCTTGTAATTTCACTGCCATGACTTAAGAATCACCTTTTGTAAAGTCTAGACTTAGTTGTTTTGGCTTTCCTTGTCAATCTTGTATTTATGTACCACACATGCTTCTTAGATCAATATTCCTTACATTAGACTTTAGTATACTTGGTTCTAAAGTCTGGGTTATGGAAGATCAAAGTGCAAATAGTTTTGCCTCAACTCAAGTACAGTTTGTACATGCATATACATTTCATGTTTAAATTCTTATGCATTCTTACTAGTGAAGTTGTCCTGTAATTACTCATTGTTTTCATGCATTCTGGGCATGCAATTTAAGGCAGCCCACATGGGCTGACTGACACGTTTTATACGGGTTAAGCTTTTCACCATTGATTTGCTCATATTACTTTTACATTTGACAAGTGTCTTTTTGTACTCTTGTCTGCAACAATCAAAAGTTTTTGTTTAATAGGGTTGGAGGATTTCATTTACTCCTTGGTGCGAAAGATTTTTTTATTATTTTTTGTTTAGAGAGTGTCTTTATTTTTTTTCTCTCCAACTCAGATCTCCTAGAAGCATCAAGCATTTTCTATGTAAAGTTCTTCATTGAATATTTATAAAACTATCCATGAAAATGCTTGCTTAAATCTTCTTAGAAGCTCATTTGTTCTGGGTTAGATAAATTGCATTTTCAAGAGAGTGGCGTAAGCTCTTCAAGCCTCTAATTCTTGTTTTTGTGAAATCCTAGCTACATACACTTTTTGATGTCTTAAATCTTGTGCTAACTCACCCACATCATCTCTAAAAAAGGATTGCATTGTCCATGATCTAGATCTTAGTTTCAAATCTTCATAAAGACCTTTGTTTGGATTCTAAGTTAGTTTCTTCTTCCTTCAATTGTTAAACTAGAGAAACTGACTTGTGATCATTTGAATCCACATATCATATCATCCTACATAGATTGTGTTGGTCTCAGTGCCACAAGGAAATGAGCTCAAGGGATGGAGATGCTCTCTTGTGAAGACTAAAGACTTCTCCACCTCATGCAAGTAAGGCTGCACATAGGTATAAAGCTGTTCCTTAGAATAGATTTAGGAATTGAGCTTGTTGTGGTACTTTGTATGAAGCTTATTTGCACTAGTGGATTGGACTATGTGAAGTCCCCGATTTTTTAACCCAGTTAGGGGTTTTTCCGGTCAAAACTTGTTGTGTTTACTTCTTCATAACTTGCATGCATATCTAGCAAATTACTAGTGAATATCACAAGCTATAATTGTTGTTTGAGAAGTGAACTGATTTGTGAATATGTTCTTGCTTGTGATTTGCTCGTAAGAGATATCTGGGTAGATATTGACCAGTTGAACGTACTAGTCTATTAAGTTTAATTCTTGGAATTGTGATTCTCGTAACTGAGAAATTCATATATAGCTGACTAGTTCTCTAACAAGCCAACCTTTCAGAGTTTAACTTCTTTGCGTTCTTCTTAGTTTGAACTTGCCCACATATCTAGTTTATTATCATATGTTTCACGCGTTATATAATCCATTATTTGATGTGGGTTTGTGCTCAAGTTTGTACCACATTATTATGAAATAAGAACTGTATTATTGTTGACTAGGTTAACTTGTAGCAAACTAAGTTTATTCATTGGATTTGTATGTGTTTAATTAATGAATCTATACTTAGTTGATAAGTTGGTTTGGCTAGTCAATCCATCACAGTTTAGTTTATAATAATTGCAGGATATTTTGCCTAGTACCAATTTCACCTTTGAACTCCTGCTTTAGTACATCGCAAGCATCCTTAGCTATCTCCTCATTTGCAATTCTGGGGAATATTTCATCACTCATTGTACTTTGAATCAACCCCAGAGCTTTTGCATCCCCAGAAATAAGATCCTATGCAACAATCAGCTGCTTCTCATCCATTTGCTTCTCATATGAGGGAAGTTTATACCCATTTTCAACAAATTTCAAGCTGACACTAGTGAAGATTGGAGCTTGAAGATCAGCTCTAGATCCAGGCATTTTGTTCTTCAATGTACTTGAGTCCTTCGTTGAAAACTCAAAGAACACTTCACAGATCACGCCCCTTGATTCAATTTGAAACAAGCTCTAAGGCCATGTTAGTGTTTTAAAGGTTGATTTACTGTAATTCTAGTTGGTTTCGTACTTCGGAAATCCCAGAGAATGTGATGAACACATTTCAAAGAGCAAAGTTAAAGAAGGCAGAAGAAGCGAAGTGTGAAACATCAAGGAGAAAATCTACGCTGGATTCCTTGATTAGGTTGTGCCAAACATGCTAGTGGTGTGAGCAAATATAGTTGTTGTTAGCTCACACCTCAGCTAATATAGGTCATGTGAGCTGCATGTGAGCAACCTATACACTTACATCAATTTGGACAGGTGACACATTATACGCCCTCTAGATATAATCGTGACCGTCCATTACAATTCATTACAAATTCAAAACTTAAGAACAAAAGCTATAAAACTGTTGCATCAGCTATGATCTTCAAGCTTCCATCCTTCAATTCCAACAGCAGTAAAGCTTATGCTTCAACAGGTTGTGTTGCTGCTGCGGTTTGCAGCCATTTTTTAAGAGGGATGATCGAGTAGTTTGCAGTAGTTTGATGTTGCATGAGGTTTTGGTATAAACACGGTCATCAACTTAATCGGTTGTTTAGGGAGTGATCTTGAAATGGAAATATGAATTTAAAATTAGTTTTGGCGGGAAGTCTATAGTCTCAGTCTGTAACCTACAAGGATTAGAGTTAAGACTGGAGTAGGGTTTGTGTGGGGCCACATATGAGATAGTTGGTGTGGGTTTATCGATGTATGCATGAGAATAACTTATGTGAAACGGTTTCATCGCAATTATGGTGTGTAAATGATTAACGCACTGTCATTTGGAGAAAAACTACATGCCAAACCGGGACATCAAATAGTGGTGAACCCATTTTATGTATGTTTTTATGCAACATAGACGAATTGGGCATATTGGTAGGTCAATCCAATTCTAACCCATCTTTTACAATTAAGTATGGATTTTATCAAGGTTCAAACCCAATCCAACTTAAGATGAATTTGAGTCAACTAGGTTAGGCTCAATCAGTTATCTAGTTGATCAAGTGCTCGAGAAGGAAATTAATTATTGCACTCTATTTTCTCCTTTTTATTTATTGTCTTTGGATTTTACAACTTAACAAAGAATCAAAGTGAAATTAATGTGCGAAGATCATTTTCCACTTAAGAAACATTTGATTTCATCCAATTACAATTGTTGAAACAAATTTAAGGGGAAAGTTACGTAAAAAACAAAACAAAAGTACTAAAGAAACGTACTTGTTATAATAATTAGTAGTTACGTCCATTGCCACGATCATCATAACGAATAGTGTCAGGTTTCTCGCACATAGGTACTGGTGTAATAGAATGGATCGAGAGTGTACTTCACCAAATCTCTGTACACCAAACTCGGCCGGTTGAGCTTCACCCCCAACTGGCCCCTGCCGAAATTAGTTGGAACGTTACACGTGGCATCTGGGCAAGACACCAGCCTCACTGAGCATCGATTAGCTTTCACTTCTTTGCCGTTGGTCGTGTACTTGTTCATGATCAGGTCGAATTGGCCCTTTTCGTCTGTTAGATCGCTTGCATAGAAGACAACCCTGCTTCTCTCATCCATGCATGTCACAGACACCTTCCCACCTGCAACAATACTATTACTTAAATTCGTACTCTTCATTGTCCATGCCCATGAATGGAATTAACTTGACGGTTATTACTTATAGATTTCACAATACAAATCATAGGCTTGTGAAAATGGCATAGGGTCCGCCCAGCCCGACCCATTTAATTGCTAGGGCCTATAGTCGAGTAAGGCCTGGCCCTTGACCTCTTAGGATTGGTCCTGCCTGGCCCAATTTACAAGTCTATGACCCGGTATGGTCAACTGTGACTAGTACAACTCATTTACAACCAAGATAAGGACAATATTCACTTCTCTAATGTTCGAGGAAGGCCCTCCTTTTCAGGAAGGAGTTCTTCCTTCCTACTAACGTGACATCATTTAACTATCCAAAGTGTTCATAATAGGAATTGTTCATTCTTTAAACGGTCATAGGTTCATTCTCTTTAAAAGAATTATTCAATTTGGAAACCGTTTAACTATCCATATGTGTGTGTGTGTGTGTGTGTGTGTGTGGAACAAAATGACAATCGTGGTGACAAGTGATGAAACATCTATTTCTTTTATTCAAATGGATAACTAAATGGTAAGTGTGTGCGTTTGTGTGTGTGCGCGTGTGTGTTGAATAAAATGACGATCGTGGTAACAAGTGATGAAACATCTATTTTTTTTATTCAAATGAATACTAAATGGTCTCCAGATCGATTGACGTTTTTTAAAAATAACATTTCTACATGATAATGACAAAAAGGAAATGTTTCAAATATGTACAGTGAAATAATGGCACATTACGAGAAAACAAAGACTTGTCCTTAAAAGGAGCGAAGTGTTATAAAAAGGTCAAAGTTAGAGGAATAACCTTTTTAATGGTAGGTGCAAGGTAGATGTAAAATGTCACACTAAAACTATAGCACATGCAGATAACAAATAAAAGCAGAGAAAATAGATGATGTTACTGATATTTTTCTCTCGTTCACTTCTCCTTTTCTTTCCTTGTAACTTAAAAACATGCGGAGTGCTCTATTTATAGAGCAACTCCAAACTGATGCAGTTAATGCATTTTGAAATTTTACGACACTTCGTCTGACTATACAATCTCTATGTATTCAAGTTTCACTTTGCATGGGCATTGAAAACTACTGCCCATGCTGAAGACTTCTGCTAACATACTGTGTGGGCATTCATTGCCATCAGACTTTTCAACACGAAGGATTATTCGAAGAAATATATACCTTTGATGGGCCTGGCGCCGTGAACCCATTCGTTCCAACCTTGGCTGCAATCTTGGCATAGTACTTTCCCACCTACATGTATGGTTTTGGTTTTCGATTCTTCATAATTAAAAACTTCAACTGTGTGGCTGCTGGTGCAACCCATGGCAATCAATACCACAGCAAATAACAGCACCACCATGGCTCTCATCTTTCTGCTCTCTCTCTCTCTCTCTCTCTCTCTCTCTCTCTCTCTCTAGATTAAGGAGGAAGCAAATGTACATTATATATATATATATATAGGACAACAAATGGGTCTTTTGTTTGGGAAGTAGCTGGCTAGGGTGGAAGAGCACTACTTAGGACGTGCATTCCATTTGGAAATGTAGAATGTCAAATTATGCCTATGTTCTAGTTTTTTAATTTATAAATGAATTATTAATTAATCAAGGTCAGCACCCAACATTTTGAACCATCTTTATAATTATTCAAGACAAACCTGCTTAATTATAAAGTAAATTGATAAATAATCTGAATATGATTTGTGAATAATTTACATACAGTTTTTTTATTCATACATTTGCTTCAACACAATTGGTTGGCGAATGGTAGCATTTTTGTAATTTTTTCACTCCAGTCACACTTTGCACTGCCCTAGTTATATAATTGTCAAACATAAAGTTTAAATTTACAAATCCTTATGCTATTGGTTTATTTATTAGTCTAACCGTTAACTCTTGTTTTTTTGACATAGCACTAAATGGGTGAAATCAATAGTAAATCGATTAACAGATGTAGTAAGAAAAACTAGCCCACATAACATCAACATGTACGTGCTTGAAAGATAAAGATATAGGTATAACAAATACATGGTACAAAAATAGTAGTTAACTTGATTGTTTACCTACGAAAATATCAAGAGTGTAACATTTGTAAGTTACAAAGTTTTTCGTCTAAGTTTTGAAAAGAAAGGGATCAAACATGTAGGGCCACTGAAACCAAATAGCAATAGGAGAAAAATTCCAACATAAACTGGAACTTAGCAATTGAAAGTTACTTAAACCGCAAGTAACTAACGTGACCTACTCCTAATAAATTCGTAAGTTAATTATGGTAAAATCCTAATCAAATTCAGACCCCGACCCGAATCTCCATTAATTTTAGAAGATTAAGCTCGAAGAAAATGGAAAAACCACCTGAGGGGGCCAAATCATGAATTTAGAAGATGAAGCTCGAAGATTAATCTCCACTAATTTGTGATTTATTTGAATGTTTAAAATTAGGTGGGTTTTTGTTTGAAAAATAGAAACTTCAAGGGCCTATCTCTAAATAACCCTTTAGTTAATTAGTTGGTAGTTAACGATTTATCAATCATTAAGCTTTTGAACGATAACAACGTCGTCATGGAATGGTCAAGATCCCGGTCGTCTTGAACCTTATCGCCCATGGCGACGTCATCACCACAACCACGACCCTAAAAGGTAAACACAGGTCGCCCAAGAACAAGAGCTTCCGGTTAACCCCCGGAATCTCGATCGCCGCCATTGATTACCAGAAAGACTCCTCTATGGTGCGGGTCCAGGGCAAACGCCACCGTCAACTAGTACGTCCAGACGGGGTTGTTTCATACCTGTAGATCGAGAGGAATAAGGAGTTGGAGATTGTTGCAGATGGAATGAAAAATTGAAGGCTGAAGAACTTTGGTGTTCTAGATTTCTTAGTTCATGTTGTTCATACTTTGTAATTGTTCTTAGTTGTAATAGATGACTAGGACTAAAACATTTGTAATTGAGCAGCTGATGTGTTTGAGCTGTCCATGTGCAACTCACTTGTCTGAGGTGTGAGACAGCAACGGCTATATTTTCTCACACACTCACTAGCATGGCCTTAGAGCTTGGTTCGATTTGAATCAAGGGGCGTGGATCTAGGATTTTGGTTTTTGGGTTTTCAACGAAGAACTCAATTGAATCACAATAAGAAATGGTTGGATCTGGAGCTGAGCTTTGAGCTCTGATCTTCACTAAAGTCAACTATGACTTCTGATGCATTAGGATGAAGATATTTTCAAATCCTACAATCTGTGAAAATTTGTAGTAGTCAACCTTCCAGAGGATATTGATGAAGAAGCCTCAGAGAACAAGCTAATCGTAATCCATGATCTCATTGCAAGAGATGCAAGGGCACTGGGATTGTTTCAAGGTGATGTGTCCGATGATATTTTTTCTAGGATCGCCCATCAAGAAACAGCAAAGGAAGCATAGGATGTCTTGAAGCAGGAGTACAAGGGTGACTCACAGGTCATGACTGTGAAACTTCAAGATATCCGTCGTGATTTTGAATATGCTAGAATGAGAAATGATGAAGAATTGTCTAATTATGTAACTATGTTGTTTGGATTGATTAATCAATTGAAAATGTATGGTGAAGATCTATCTAACAAGAGAATTGTAGAGAAGGTATTGATTAGTCTTACTCCACAATATGATAACCTCGTGTCTGTACTAGAAGGGACTAAGAAGGTTAGTGGAATTAATCCCATTGAGATTGTAAACACACGGAAAGGATCTGAGATAAGATTAACTAGGCACTCTAAAGATAATGAGGTGACTGAGAGAGTCTTTAGGCCATCTCCAACCGAAGGCTGGCCAGATGACTTGTTTTAACCATCTGGCCCTCCAAGAAATTAATATTTTAATGAACAGTGCATGACCATATTTCTTACCATCTCCAACGGAGTGCCAAAGGGCCATAGGGCTCATTTTAGCCCTGTCACAAAAAACCGTCTTCAACCGAGGGCCAAAGGATCATAGGGCCAAACATAATTTATTATTTAAATTTAAAAACTACAACAACTGAAATTTAAAAACTACCAACTTATATTTAAAATTACAACTTAAATTTAAAAACTACAACAACTTAAATTTAATATCCATAATCAACATCATCTTCATCATCCCCCATTATAGGAGCATAGTCAGAGGTAAACAACTGCCGTCGGATCATAATTTCTTTTTCTTAACTATCAAAATAGGCCTTGCTCCTTGGAGTGTAATTCGAAGTGTTCCTTTCCATATTCTTATCATCCATCTCTTCTTGTATTTGTTTGGCTAGTTCTTCATGACTACGGTTCCTTTCTTCCGCTGCAAAGCATTTTGCTTCGCCATTAATCGCAATGAGGCCACCACTTCCTGTTGAGCAGTATAATCATCATTTGCCTTGCCATTTTCCTTCAACCTTCAAGCCTTCTTTCGTCCCATAGCCCTAGGTATGGAACCTTCACCTGAAGACGGATTTTCTACCCTTGTTTATTGAATGGTATGAGATCCATCTTCATCCATATCTACTATTGAGGATGCATTAATGAACATCGGCGTAGGACCTACTCTATGTTGAGGCGAATCTTCAAATAACACCCACCCTTTACAAATTTCCCAACAACCGTGAAACTGAAAGGGTTTCGAGCTGCCCTCCATATACAATTCATCCGCTTGGCAAACCTAAAAAATATAATTAAAAAAAGTAAAGAAAATTAATTTTTGAAATTAAATGTAATATAATTACAAAAATTAAAGTAAATTAATTTATGAAATTAAATGTAATATAATTAAATATTTAAAATAAATTGTGAAAACACTTACTTCATCGTAATAATTGGGTTCATGTCTACTTGCGGCTACTATCAGTGATTGATGCCATTTATTCAAACTTGGTTGAAGATGTTTCTTCCATCTTGAAGAACAACTCTTGTTGTTTCGGGTAATCGGTGGAGTGGTGCCTTCGTAGAACTCTAAGTATTTTTTTGACACACGAGTCCAAACACCTTCACTTGTTTGAGAACTCCCACTCACACTTTCTTCTGAGACCCATCTATAAGCCCTACAAAGAGCTTCATCTTCTTTTCAAGTCCAAGCCCTACCTTTCATTGCAGATCAAGCCATTTGAAAATTATTGAAAAAATTGAAGGAAATATTATTGGAAGAGGTAAGAAAATATGAGAATTGAAATGGTGTAGGAATGGTGAAAAATTTGTGAGGAATGGTGTAGGAATGGCTTAGGTATTTATAGGAAAAAATGAGAATATTTTAGAATTTAAAAAAAAATAAAAATTGGCCCAAAAAAAAATAATAATAATTCAAAAACCAATGGTAACTAACGTCAGCTCGCCGTTGGGGTTTGAATGGGAGCCCAGCCCGGGGCTAGCTGGCTGGCTACTTTGGGTCGGCCGATTGGCCCTTTGGCCCTTTTTTGTCCAGTGGGGCCTACGAGCCCTTTGGCCTAGCCTTCGATTGGAGACGATTTTTAGGCTATTTTTAGCCCTCTGGCCCTCTGGACCCTTTGGTTGGATATGATTTTAGTAGTCTCGGTGTGCAAGGGAAGAATAGATTACAGACTAGTGGTCATAAATGAAGAAACCTTGGAAGAAATAAGGAGAAAAAAGCATTTGTAGACCAAATGAGAAGACTAATGCAGTTGTGAAAGTTAATGGCTTTAAGGAGAGTTGTAGGACATTGGCAACTTGCATTTTGGTGAATATTGGTTCAAAGGAAAGACAAAATGTCATAGATGTGACCAATTGGGTCACAATGCTAAGGACTACAAGAGCGAAGCAATGTAACAAGTACCCTATGCCAAGGAAGTTGGAAGAGAAACTGCTATATTTTTTTTTTCTGCAATTTTGCATCAATTGCTAAGGATGAACATGTTTGGTTCATTGATAGTGATTGTAGTAATCATATGACCTCACATGAATTATTGCTAATAAATGTGGACAGAAGTGTGACTACAAGGATTAAAATGGAAAATGGAAAATAGACGTATTGTGCAAGCTATTGCGAAGGGACATTGGTAATTGAGACTAAGAATGGTACTAGGCACATCAAAGATGTGATGCTAGTTCCAAGAGTAGATGAGAACTTGTTGAGTGTTGACAAATGATTCAACATGGTTATTTTCTGCTTTTTGGAGATGACAGGGTTGCAATATCTGAAGACATAGAACTTGAGTATCATGTGACTACTGTGAAAATGAGTGGAAATAGATGTTTTCCTCTCATTATAAAGGCTATGAGTCCAACAGCATTGAAGGTTACAATTGAATAAGATGTTTGGGAATGGCACAAGATGTTTGATCATTTGAATTTCCAAAGTTTGCAGATTCTAGCAGATGAGGAAATGGTGCATAGCTTAACTGAACTAAGAAAAT